CCCCCCCCCCCCCCCCCCCCCAAACATTCCATGCTCGCTACGATATAGTTTTTTTTAATAATGAAAATAAGTTATTCTTGTTTGTCCTGGCATCTCAATATGGACACTATCTTTGATAAATAATTTGATTTTTCTTTCTGTAGGTGTGAGCTATTCAATACAAGTCTTGACCAATATGTAAGGAGCATATCATAGAAATCAAAGGTAGCTGACTGCTCTGCCATTTTAGTTTCATTCAAGTCGTCATATGCTTTCTGTCTCTTGTTGATGAATGAATGCAATTTATTGAACAATGGTACAGTTGCAGGCCATTAGACCTCCTTGTCGAAAAAATCCTACCTCTGAGTTTATTTTTTATTCCATTGGTTGGACTCAAGATAGTGCACCGGCATGACTTATTCAATTTTTTTTTTTTCCTCATCATTTTTGTGGTGACTTATGGTGTTGCGATAGTGGTGGAAAGAGGTTTTTTTTTTTAAAATAAGGAATTCTAGTACAAATGTTTGCTGCAATTGCAGCTAGGTTTCTTGTTTCATCTACTCACATACATACATTAGGAGTCCTGTGTAAAAATGTAAAGGTTTCAAATGGGAGAAGATTATGTTAAATTACCTTATTAACCGCTTTCACCTTTCCATTATCTCTTCATCAATGTCTTGTTATTTGTTTCAACCCTAGTATGCACCTCCATTAAATAATGCAAGTTTCTTTTTCCTTTTTGAGAATTTGATATTTGTAAGTGTCTAGGCCAACTTGGATACACCTCAACTAATCTTAGAAGACAATTGCCTAATCTTATTACATGTAGTTGTCAAGGAAACTCATTGGATATTGATTCCTAGGTTGGTGACTACCTTAGTTTGAAACTATTTTGTCTAAGCCATTGACTATTTATTATTACCCTCATTGATCAACAAGCCAACCACACGGTGGTTTAGGAAGTTTGCCATAGTGTAACTCTTCCTTTGGGTTCCCAAGTCATTAGGAATAGATTTTGGTCCCTTTAAGGTTGATAGCCCTTCATCTCTTGGTTCAACGATCAACTCTATCTCCTGATATTTATCACACTGTCTCCCAATGAAGTTAATAGGATTCCCAATGAGGCATACGCCAACTTAAGGAAAATCGAGGTCAAATTTGAGGCCCCCATGGTCTGTTGACGCTTTAATTCTGTATTGTGCTATGACACGGCTGTTGTGTTGCACTGCTGTGGTAATGGAAGCTAGATCTCTTTCAGTACTATAATTTCATAACGTGTTTGTTTGGGCTAAAAAAAAGATGTCAATGTACAACCATCATCCATTAGGTATACAGTGTCGGTAAGCAACTAACATAGCAGAAAACCGTCATCATATGTTTACGATGACACTGATTTGGATTTGATGTCAATATTGAATCGTCGATGCATAGGTTTGATGATTGTTTTAAATTGTATCATTGTACAAAGTGTCATTGTTCTTTTTGTATAGGATTGTATCATAACTAAGGCTGTAAATTTCCCTCGACATATTGTCATTTTCATATGATTCTGGTTAAATAACATTTTCAATGTATCATAAAAGTATTAATATAATATTACTAATACTAAAAAAATGGTAATTTTGTGGGTGTTTTGATTTGAATGGGGGTAGTTACTAGTTAGTGATGATTGAAATGGGAAGATGTTTGAGAGACTGAGACTGAGAGAAAATGACAAAGGGAAAGACTGCACACTGAGATGGAAGACATTGACAGACAGTGAAGAAAGGGAGAAAGGATTCCCCTTTTCCCTCTCTTTTGGTTACTAGTTGGAGTTTGCATCAGACAAAATCCAGATTTCTTTTGAAATTGGTTCATAATAATTATGACCCTTTTCACCCTTTTCACATTCCAACCCTCAAAACCAAACCCATTTCTTCTCTTCTTCTTCTTCTTCTTCTTCTTCTTCTTCATGGCATCACCCAAAAATTTCCCCCTTTACAAACAAAACTCACAAATTTATATTCTTTGGGTTGCTCTCAAATCCCTTCTTCTTTGCTTTCTCTGAAAGAAAAATCTGCCAAAATGAAAAGAAGAAACCCAAATCATCATCAGTTTTGATTATTTCAAGCTCTGTGTTACATAATCAATGGTGGAACTGGGAACTGGGAATGAGTAGTATACCTTTGCAAGATAGACTTCTTGACCTTTCTTGTGAGGCCGCTGTTTCTGACCTTGAGAACAATAAAGGTTTCTCTGACCACGAAAATAAATTCAACATTAGTGGCATTTTCGCGATTGTTCTTGTTCTAAAAAGTTGGTTTTTACCTGTGGATGCGTTGAAGGATCTTTTACAGTGTAAAATGGCGCTTTGAATCCCGTCGTGTTGCTGCAACAACGAATCATCTCTTCGGTTCAACGGGGGCGCCACCGCCAATCCACCGGTCGCTGACGCCGATTTGCTCTTACCCAGATGCTTACATACCAACCGAATCCCCGCCGGCAGGCCATTATCGTGCTTTTCTCTCGCCGGAGAATCCACTGTCGTCGACAGATTGTCGCTGTAGTCAGTGGGTTTCTTCAGAACCTTAGGCTTAATCAGCCTCAAATACTTCTGAACTGCCTCCTTCGAGAACCGTCTCGCCGTTGTCGCCGGAGCCTCACAAGGGTCGACTGGAAAAACACCTCCGATTCTCCTGGTGCTGTTGTCTCTGGAAAGATTCGAGCTCAAAACTCTGCGTTCTACTTGTTCTGTTCCGCCGGGTGCTCTGTTTTTGGCCATTGATCTCTGTTTGTTGAAGATGGAAACAGGGAACTTGGGGGCCGATTTGAGAAGCTGAATAGGGGAGTGGGGCTTGGAAGTGGGTTCGATTGGAAGAATCTTTCGTTTGGAAATGGAATCGGAACAGAGGTTTATGTGTTCGCCTAGTTTGGTGGGAATTTGAGGTCTCTGTTCTGGGCTGTGAATATCGCCGGCGGAAACAGAGAGAAACTCGAGATCGAAGAACGAATCTTCCTCTTCTTCTCCATCTTGTTCTCGTTTCTGCTGTTCATCGGCGACGGAAAGTTTGAACAGCCTGCGAAAGGCGAGGGAATCCATGGTGGGAGGAGAGAGGAGAGGGGTAAAAAATGGTGGGGTTTTGGTGGGTTTTATACAGAGAGATTTTGGGTTAGTGTTAGTTTCTTCCATGGAGATTTTGGTTTACAGTAATTGAATTGAAAATGTAGTTTGCCTAAGAAGAAACAGAGGATGATGTAAGTTTTTTTTTTTTTTTTTTTCCTTCTTTGTCTACCGATATTCGTTTTAAAGTCTCTCAATGCTTTTTAGTTTTTTTTTTCTCCTTTTTTAAATTTTATTATGATATCTTTGAATTTGTGAATGGTAAAATTTCACTTTAAAATCGTGTACTAATTAAAGTTTTTCGTGAGGTGTCACGTTTATGCTCGTTTAAGACGTGTTGTCCGTGGTTGCATGCTCATGACAAACCCTTTACTTGATTTCACTGTATTGTTTTATTATTGTATCTTCTGTTTATGTGATTATTTATTACTTGATTTCACACGGTATTGTTTTACTTTTATGTGATTATTTATCAAAATCATGTCTATGTTTGTATGACTTGAATAATCTCAAAATGTATTATATCTCTTAGTTGTCAACTTCTCTCACCTAAATTTTATACATGTTTCACTTGAATTGTCTCTTAGTTGTCAGGGATACGATTAGTTAATTTTTATTACTCCCTATTTCTTTCTTTAAGTATTTATGTAATGACTTTCAAACTGCTGTCAATCTTGTTTTCCAAGTCTCTTTCAAAAATCTCTCTACCCTGGTTTTATAAAATCTTCTAAAAACGGGCTAGAGACTTGAACATAGCTGCTTGACCATAACACAAACCTAAATTGGCTCGACTCACTTTGTTGGGAGTGAGTGTTGTACAATTTCAAAAGCCTGCTACTAAGAAAACTGCTATTATGACATGGGATATGCGACGATGGGTACGGACCGGCCTTTGCATGATGTCACAACCTCAACGAGAGAAAGTAGGCCGTTTGGATTTGAAATTCGAACACCCAAGTTCAAACCAATTAGCCAAACTGGTCCCAAACGATTATGAATGGAGACAGGAACTACTTAAAAGAATGGAGGCAATGGTTTAGAGAGAGAGAGAGGTGAGCCTACAAAGCTGGAAGCTCAGAATGAGCCGTCAGAACACACACGGTCTTCGTCCCCATACCATTTCAGAGTTTCAGATAACTTTTCATTTCTTAATCTCACGCGCCCCATTTTACACGCTCCTTTTATTCTTTTAAATATTCAACAATATATCATTTTTTAAAATTATTAATTTAATCCATTTCCCTTCCTTTTATTTTTAATTATAATCAGATATTTCAAGTAAATTAAATTATATTTTTTTTAATCAGCTGTGGGAAAAGGAATGTTAGACTTGGATAAAAGAAAAATAAATTAATTAAAAAGCTTCAATTTTTCAAAGTCAATTTGATAACCTCACCTACTCAACTCGAACTCTAATTATTCCCTCCAAGTTGCCATTTTTTTAAAACATTATACATGTCGGTATTCTAAGTTATACCTAAATTTAACCATTGTCGTTCATAAAATATGATTTAAATTTGTTATTATATCACCGATTCAATTAGATTATTCAAATAAATCCAACCAACTCATTAACTCGACATATCATAATCAATAGTTGAAACAATTGTTTCAACAATGATCATATGTTAGCTCGAGTAATACGCTGCTCAGACAACGATTTTAAGTCAATGTCGTATTTCTATGTGTCCAAGTCAAACTCTCTAATAAAATTTTGCAAGTTGCAACTCTTTAGTTTGAATGTGTAAGAGCTCAAGCCTTCCCCTACCGCTAATAAATATTGGTTTCTTTGGGCTTTCCCGACTTTTCCTTTCAGACTTCCTTTAAAGATTTTAAAACACGTCTACTAGGGAGAGGTTTCCACATCTTTAAGGGCTTAACGTTTTTGCTGACACACCACCCGATGTACCATTTGTAACAACTTAAGCTAAATAGTGGAAGCGGCTCCATGAAGGAAAAAAAATAGAGGGAAAGGGAGACCTAAAAGTGTAAAAGAAGAGGGAATTAGGTTCTTTATGAAGAAAAAAGGGTTTAGGGTTTGGGAGAAGATGACAAGAAACTTCCAAAAAGTGGAAAGAAAAATAAGGCATAAGGAGAGAGAAAAGGCATCCCACAAGCAACCCAGCTTACATACCTCACCTTCCCCCATACAACACATCAATGGAGATTTGCTTTAAAGGATACAAAAACCATCCCTTAAATAACACCACCCCCTCTTACCTAAAGGATCCTTAAGATTTCAATAACTACGAGAAAAGAATCCGCTGAGAGAAAGCTGAGAAGGGAAAGCTGAAAGAAGACAATATCTGCTAGTTGCGAGCTTGGACTATTACAAATGGTGTAAGAATCAGACAACGAGCATTGTGCCAATAAGAACGTTGAACCAATTTTGCTCCGTAGGGATGAATTGTGAGATCCCACATTTAAAGGTGTGGAAACCTCTTCTTAGTGAACGCATTTTAAAACTTTGAGCGGAAGTCCAAAAGGGAAAACCCATCTCTCTCGAGTAAACGCGTTTAAAACCTTGAGGGAAAGCCTAATATCTACTAACGGTGAGGTTAAGCTGTTATAGATCGCTTTTGTTAAAATTGCAGGTATAAACGTGCCAAAAAGGTGAAAAAGTGTGCATGGGCTCACAAAATTAGGGTTTATGCATAAAAAAATCTCTTATTTTGGGCAAAGGAAAAGCAAGTAAAGATGGCAGATGCCAATGCCATTCCATTTCTTTCTTCCTTAAGGATATGCATGAGCATTTCCTTTTGCTACAAAAAGTTTTGACCTTCTCTTACCAAACCCGAATCCGATGGTATATATCAATTACGGCTAAATTATACTCACTCTTATGGCTTAAAAAAGATCCTCCGATTCCACGAAACTTAACCGTCAATATTACATATTCATTAAGCAAATTTGTCAACAAAGATATTAATGGGTAATAAATTACATTCACACGTAAAATTCTAAATCAATATTTTTTTCTTATTTTTTTAGGTCATGCTTCCGACCATACAATTTGGTGTCTGGTGCCGTGTCTACGAATTTATAGAAAAATTTAGGGTTTTGACTCTAAAATGAGAAATACATATATATAATTACATTATTTAAATGAAAAATCAAAGACATTTGAATTATTTAGGACAAACCAAACTGGATGTAAACAGACATTTGCATGTGCATCATTAAAAGCTTGGTTGGAATTAAAGATGACCAATGTATATGAATCACATGTATATATCCAAAAACCATATACTATATTTTTCTTCCAATTAATCGTATGTGGACTATTTTGCTTATTTTCCTTTGATAAAGACTATTGAAAATGAGAGGATTTGAATTTTTAATCTATGCTTCTATTTAATACCAACCAATGTGAGACATCACAATCCACCCCCTTCGGGGTTAGCGTCCTCGCTGGCACTCTTTCCTTCCTCCAATCGATGTGGGACCGCCCCTAAATTCACCCTCTTTGGGGGCCAGCGTCCTTACTGGCACACCGCCTCGTGTCTGTGGGACCGCCCCTAAATTCACCCTCTTTGGTGGTTTGTTCACCCTTATAAATGGTGGTTTGTTCTCCTCCCCAACCAATGTGGGACATCACAGACTCTAAGTTTTCTCTTTCGAACTTCCCCTCAAGGTTTTAAAACGGTTTTTTAGGGAGAGATTTCCACGCCCTTATGTTAGAGAGATGTTCCACCCCTATCATATGTTTTTATCCCAAGTGGGGCTTGGTTGTTGGTCGGTATGTCTCATTTGGGTGTCTATCTTTGAAAATGTTTTAAAAAATGGGTAGCCTTTTTAAGAATCTATACATCATTGCTTGGAAGAAAATATTAAAGCTTTTGGTTTAGTGGGGTTTCTATGTTTAGTGATTAATTGTGTTCTTAATCTTGATGGGTTGCTTTCTAAGTGCTTTCCACATATTTCAACTACCTTGGAAATTAGGGTTTTTAATTTTGCTTTTATGAAACCTTAGTCAAATTCCTTAATCATTTATGTTTTTGGGTATTATAATGCTTTTGCACTAAAGTATTAGAAGGTTTAATATGTTGGAGGTGATTCTTTTAGATTTATAACAAGAAACTATTGTTCAGTGTCTACCTCTGTTACCATTTGTAACAGCTTAAGCGGCTTAGGCTGACAAATATTGTTAACTTTGACCCGTTATGTATCGTTATCAGTCTCACGATTTTAAAACGTGTTTGAGAGAGATTTCCACACCTTTATAAGGAATGATTCGTTTTCCTCTCCAACTAACGTGGAATCTCACTGTTTTGTTTCATAATATTAAAAAGCAAGATACGTTAGCTAGTTTGGTTCCTAATCATCTAGTTGTTCTTCCGTTGATTGTGGTAAGATGGTCGATTTTATGTGTTTCCAACACGGGTTTATTTTCTTGAATTGATAAGATACTTGTGAAAGAAGATGGAGGTGTTCCAAGAATGAACAGCAAAAAGTGAGCATTCAAAGTTGTACTATGCTGTGTTATAAATAATGTTCATCACCTAAACTACACTATACTTGTGTTCATGGAGACAAAGATTCTGATTCGTGTAACTCCACAAAACTAGGAGCTACTAAAGCTACTAAACCAAACTATTGTGTCACAGTGTTCCTAGTATTTATTCCCTTCCATATCATATGTGTTTTTCTCTTAAACACCCACCAAACATTCCAAATTCCATGTCACTAACAATTATACTCAAATGACCGGTTTATGGGTGTGAGATCCCATATTGGTGGGAGAGGGGAACGAAGCATACCTTATAAGCGTGTGGAAACTTCTCCCTAATAGACACGTATTAAAACTATAAAGTTGACGACGATACGTTACGGGTGAAAATGGACAATGTTTACTAGCGGTGAGCTTAAGTTGTTACAAATGTTATTAGAGTCTGTCGCTAGACGTTGCGAGACATTGGTCGGAGTACATAGTAGACACGTTTTAAAATTGTAAGGCTAACGACAATACATAACGGGCAAAACTGGACAATATCTGCTAGTGGTGAGCTTCGACTATTTCAAATGATATTAGAGCCAATTACTAAATGGTGCAAGACACGGGTCCGAGTTGAGCTAGACCCTTCCCATAGTAAATGCACTTTTAAAATATATATATATATATATATATATATATATATATATTTTTTTTTTTTTTTTTTTTTTTTTTTTTTTTTTTTTTTTTTTTTTTTTT